TGCAATTTCTTCAACCTAGGATAGGGAGGATTTTGGGACACTTAAATGGAAAATGCAAGTGGATCCCATATGGTGCGAACCGCAAACACCGAACTTGCAATATCTGAGTCTTCTCCCGTGTCAATCTCTACTGTGAACATTGTGCCGATGACAGATTGAAGGCATGCATTCCTAGCAGTGTTTGTGAGACCCAAGTACTCAGCTGGTGATTTTTGCAGCAAGGAGATTGCTGCGTCATTGTTGAAGAGCAACATGCAGGAAGTTGAGGTGTCTCGACAAAGGACATTGAGTTGGAAACTGCAGATAATGTGATATGGATGTTAGAAGAATAGTCACTGTGGTTGGTGTTTTTGTTCTTGCTATGATACGCACCTTGGAGAGTTTGTGGTGTCATCAGAGGGATATTGACAGTGACTTGTACATGTCGGAATGCTTTCTATCTTGATGAGGCATCAAACGGAGGACTGTTATGAGGGTGCATAGCAAAGTGATGCAAGGATCAGTTCCATAGTCTTGTTAAAAAGCAAGATTGAGCAAACTTACATTGTGTGGGGGGGAAGAGTTTTTTCTCAGCTGCCCCCAACTTCATGAGAGTCGTTTTGGCGGGCAGGTTATAGCGGACGTGCACAGGCCAAGGAGTAGGTGAGTGGCCGATGACCACTAGGTGGTGTACATGTGAGAACCTGCAAATATGATTTGGAGTGAGCGAGGGCAGAAATGCTCGGTTTGGAAAAATGTAGTCAATCAGGCCACGTTTCAATTTTAAATGGATGGTTGTTACTGGTGCTTACGTATCTCTCAGGTGTCTGAATCGTGGCTCATACGACCCATGGATAACCCTTGTTGCATCCGTGTTCAGCAGCAGGCATATCAAGTAGGGAATTATAGTGTGCACATACAATATAGACAAATAATGAAGATGTTCTTCCATTCACTGTACCCGATGATTCAACAACTACCATGCTCGTAAAGGCAAGTAGAACCGGACCGCGTTTTTCTGCTTCCACTATTGATGCCCGAGATAGCTCATGATCGAGCGATCTGTAGTTGACCATAATAGTGTTCCCACTGCAACCAAGGACAATAAAAATGGAAGAGGTGCAATGATAAGAACATCTGCAGACCACATTTCAAAATGTTAGGTTTTTCTGTGGCACACGCCTTTGCAATTTTGAGAACCCAAATGTACCTTTGAAGTCTGTCTTTGAACGCAGATGATTCCTTAAAGCAGTGAAAGGTGTTGGGTAGAAGGCAGATTTTGGGAACCATGGACGATCTGGGTCCTCTGGTAGTTCATGCAGGTCGGTTCTTTCAGTCAGTTTAATCCGCACTTGTGAGGGGCAGGAGCGCAGGTATCGACGACACCTTTTTGTGACAACAGACCGCATCATGTAAATCTTACCAACACATAAAAAGTCTGGTATTTCTCTTGCAAAACAAACTGGTGTGTATCCTTCGATGAGCTCGTCCTGGAAGTTATGAGACAATGAGGAGTAAGCATAAACAGCAAGCATAGTTTTAAATCGTTGCTCTCTCTCAGATTTATGGGGAAGATCAGATTGTAAGTGCAATGCAGTAGGCGGTAACGATATTGACATGGAATTGCAGATCAGTAACAGACCTGCTTGTCTACTCAAAGACTGTGCACCACTCGTTGAGCTGGTTCCGGTTGAATACAGTTATGCATCCAAAAGTTCAGTAGCCTCAATATGATTGGCTGCTCATTTGTGCCGAGCTGGAGGCTTCTGATGGTGAGAGGAGCCTCTGATAGTTCTGCAGAAATGACAATGTATAAGTATTGCAATTGGAACGAAGGATGAACCGAGCAGAACAGACTATACATAAGAGAGGCAAACCTTGAGGAGCAAGGATCAAGCTATATTCAGACGACATCGCGTGCGACGTTCACGGTCGTGGCTATGTGTGGAGTTTGGTGGAGGATTTGCGATTGTGTGCCTTGGTAGTGAGGATGGATGGAGTTGTTCCTCTCTTAAGCGTCAACCATCCTGGTTTTAAAGCACGGCAAGCAGCCAAGGCATGGGTTGTGTCTTCCGAGGAGGACTGAAGTGACTGTACAGGCAGAGATGAGGAAACCGCTGTGAATAAAAGATGAAAAGATTCATCACCATGGAAACGATGCAGCGTGGAAGAGGGGTTGCAGGTTGGGCGAGGCATGGTAACTGAGTTAATGGTTGTTGACTGAGGTAGCGTGAACGGGGCAATGTTCAGGGCGAGGAGGTGTGGAATGAGCTGAGGCAATTGAGTGTGATTGATCGAGTACAAATTTGCAGGGCACGATGAGCTTCTCTCCCACATTGCCTCCTATTCCAATTTGATCTCGGCTTCCTCTTCTTTTGGGTTCCACGGCGGCCAGTAGCGGGGGAAATTTGAGGGTATGCGTTGCAAGAGAAAAGAATGAAATTATGGAGGGAGAAACCATTTGTCTCCCATCAAGTACAATTGAAGGCAACTGGCGAAGGGAGTAAAACAATGTAGAAGTAGAACAAAGGTGTTATGGTGGAGCAATCGTTAACTGACGCATGTAGTCAGCCGTTCTTCTCATGGACAGAGGCAAAAGAGGTAAGGTGGAAGTGGAATGAAAATTGATTGAAGAAGCAGAACCGGAATTCGGGAAGACAGAGGAGAGGCGCTATCCTAATCCAGAGGATCAGGGCAAGGACAGCAGAAAACATGGGCGTTGGCGTATGGAAGCATCCGCAAGGAATGTAAACTCTGGTTTAGCAGGTCGGAAAAAAACCAAACTTCTGAAAGGCCTTACCTTTTAGTTCGGGCCTCTGGCTTCTTACGCCATCTTATGTAGTCGTGTTTGGCACACCCTTTAAAGTTTAAAGTTCCAGATTGTGTAAATGAATCTAAAATCTAAATTTAATTTAATCTAATCTAAATCTAAATCTAAAATAAGGGGTTTCTCATTTACGCCTTCACGGATTCAAAATTCCCTTCCCCTAATGCTTCCACATCAGCACAGCCGAGGCAACTCCATCGCCAGTCCTCTTCACGGACAATATATCTTCATATCTTGGAATTAAAGTTTCAACCCAGCCAACCACCACACCCTCTCATTTACGCCTTCACGGATTCAAAATTCCCTTCCCCTAATGCTTCCACATCAGCACAGCCGAGGCAACTCCATCGCCAGTCCTCTTCACGGACAATATATCTTCATATCTTGGAATTAAAGTTTCAACCCAGCCAACCACCACACCCTCTCATTTACGCCTTCACGAATTCAAAATTCCCTTCCCCTAATGCTTCCACATCAGCACAGCCGAGGCAACTCCATCGCCAGTCCTCTTCACAGACAATATATCTTCATATCTTGGAATTAAAGTTTCAACCCAGCCAACCACCACACCCTCTCGCTAATTTCAAACTCCAAATAATTGCCAATTACGTACCCCTACTTTGCAAAGAATGGATCACCATTTAAACAACACCATCCCCCGAAAACCACTGCGTGCAATTATCAATCCAAGTTATCCAACCAACGTATTGAAGAACTCTTTAACTTCCTTGTCGGCTAAAGATTTTCCATTGCAAAGGCTGCGTGGCGGTGTGTGTCTGCGGCTTGAATTGCGATCCGCCACCGGTGACTCAAGGCAGACCCCCACAGAATTGGAATTTGACCGCAAAATTGGATGAATTCGGCGGGAACAGACTTTGGGTGGTGCAGTCGATGTGTTATCGACGGAATTTATACCAGCAGCGACGAACAAAAACATTATTGATAGAACCCGAAGGGCGATGGTGACAACAACCTATAACCAATGACACCCGAGGGCCACCAATTTTCAACGCCGACGATCGTCTCTCCATACAACCAACATCTCCACCTTCCGAATGCTTTTCAATCACGCAACAATTGTAATTCAAAAATCAAAATCGATAGTTGCTTCAATTGTTCAGTCGTGTGGTTTCTTACTCTGCCTCTTCCTCTTTCTTTTCCAATTTTCATATGGCTATCAATGTTGCGTTACCTTTTTAATCTTATCCCCTATATCTATTTGTTTCGGTGCCCGCTCTTGCAAAATAACTTACATCGTCGTGTTGTATCAGGAGAATTGGCATTCAAATCTCGCATCTGACCTTCTACTGCTTTAGAGTGCAATTGCATCCCAACACAATTTATTACACAGCTTCCTAGTATCTCATTTTTTGTGTATGGGTTCGTACCACCACTATTTCAGCATTGCTTTCTAATTTCTCGGCCACCAAAGTCCTGTAAGTGTCCTTCTAATGCAAAGGAGAGGTAAAATATATTCAAACTGAAATTCATGTTAGCACATGTGGCCCTGAAGTCTCATAGTACATGAGAACAAAATGGTTCCCATTTCCTTACAAACTTAGCTCTACAACATGAACCTAGGAGAGTACATATCGAAAACAGTACAGTTAGGAAGAAGAACCACTTCAGGCACAGGTTATTCAACACAGGTAATGATTGAAAAAAAAACATGGCCACCTCGGTCACGATTTGCAAAAGCTTCCCTCTGTTACTATATCCGGCAGGTCGTATCTGCAGGTGGACTTTGGAGCTGGAAGCACCAAACCATGTTCACGGGTAGTAGACGGATAGCGAAAACAACCATGCCATTCACGCAAAAAATGGCTCTGTGGGTAGAGGTGATGGGAGCGAGCAAAAAGTTCTCCAGCAGGTCTATTGGAGAATCCCAGAACCTGCAGCCATTACCTCGCCATTAAGAAAGCAAACAATCATAGTTCACTCACATAACTCAGTTATCCACAAAGCCTGAAACCTGCTATGCATTTTATATGAGAAAAAAAAAAGGACATCCAGGTTATATGCGAGGTAAGACATTTGGAAACTTCTTTCCATGCTGCAGGAACAATATGTGTGTAGTTGTGTGGTTTTAAAGTACCTATGAATCTTCCCCCGTTCCACATAAACCTGCACCCAGTAGAATGCAATGAGAATGGAATGTTTAGTCTGGAGCTAAAATCAACTATGGAAATACATATTAAAGGTGTTCAAACTCACCAGGGAACGATAGTTCATCATAAATCTCAGTGTACACAACATTTTTGGTACAGTCCGATGGCAGGCTATCATCGTTATGTATGAGGAATCTAAGGCCTGCTGCTGATCGAACTCGAGAAACTGCAACATACAACTGGCCATGGCTGAAAATAGGCTTCGGTAGAAAACCCCCTGCTTTTTCTAGAGTCTGGCCTTGACTCTTATTGATCGTCATGGCATAGCAGAGTCGAACCAGAAACTGCCTACGCTTCAATGTAAATGGCCATTTTGGATCGCTGAAGTTGAGAGCAATTCTCGGTATAGCAACCACTGTGCCCTCGTGTGTACCAGTGAGTATAATTCCTTTGATGACATTCTGCCCAAGATATGTTATCATCAACCGAGTTCCATTGCACATACCAGCCGGCGGATCAATGTTTCGAAGCAGCATGATAGGCGTATACAGTTTGAGAGTAAGTTCATGTTCAGGCATCCCATTGAAGGAAAGTGAATTCAGGAATTCAATGGGGTACAGGGAGTCCAAGTCCTACTTGTCGGTTGATTCAGTACACAAACTATCTATGTTGTAGTAGTTCTTGGGTTCCTCAGGAATGTAGGAAAGAACAACATCATTAATGGTAGACACTGTTTCATTTGTGGGGTGATTATAGCACGATTCTTCAAGTAGGAAACTGACCTGTAAAAGTCAACCAGTCCATGGAAGACGAAATCAACAACCGGTTGAATGGATGTGCCATTAGGTGGTAAGATCAGATAATGAGGAATTGTGGTCCAACTTCTTTCAGAGTTCTCATCCAAGGACCTCACAGGTAGAAGACCGTTCCCAACTGTGAGAACCCACTGTGCGAATGTCATACCGTTGAAGATTGCTTCCTGATTTACTGCATCCGAATTTATGCGCATATTTTCCTGCAAACACAAAAGGTTGCAATGAGCCCACAAGGGCGAACGTATGATTGATGCATTGATGGTTTCCTCGCGGCCGCCGCCAGGTATGACTGGTAGAATCTGACGGAAATCCCCACCAAGAAGAACTGTCTTCCCACCAAATGGCCTATAAGAAGTTCCGGTAGAGGGCAGATCCATGACGTCGCATAAGGTCTTGCTTAGAGCTTCAAAGCAAAAGCGATGAGTCATAGGCGCCTCATCCCATACAATGAGCGAAGTTTGCTGCAGAAGTTCGGCAAGGTGAGTCCCCTTTTTAACCTTGCACGTAGAAGAAGCATCGACATCTATTGGTATCTTGAACCGGGAATGACCAGTAGAACCATCTGGCAGCAAGGTCGCTGCAATGCCGGACGATGCAACAACCAAAGCTATCTTATGTTGGCTGCGAAGCTTGGCAATAATTGTATTATACAAATATGTTTTCCCTGTTCCACCATGTCCATAAAGGAAGAAGAACCTCCCAAGCCCATGTTCCACAGAACCCATAATGCATTTGTACGCCTCACTCTGTTCGCGATTAAGAGTTGCATAGATCTCATCAGCTGTTCGTTGTTGCAAGCAGACATCGTAGTTCAGTTGTTCGCAAATGAGCCTGTTCCCAACCACTATGTCTGCAGTGTGGAGAGGGTGTGGTAAATTATAATCGTCTAGGGTCCTACCATGGCTATGGAGCAGACTGTCGATGTGTCTAATGACCTCATCACGCAGATACTGAGGTGGCGGCTGGAAATTCTGTAGCTCCATACCACGTCGGGTACGATAAGAAAAATCATAAGCAAAAAGCTGCCAGTTAGCCTCGAACAACTTTCTCGGGTCAGCAACCTCAGAATGCACCAGAATCATGACAAACAAAGATCGGAGCAGAGCTGGCATTCCCCATTCCCCAACCTCTCCTATGGTTGCTTGAGGTTCACCATCGTCAATTAAGAAGCCTCGCTTGAGACATGCTTCATTATAATCTTTACAGAGTTCACCATCGACTGTCATAAGGTCTTTGAAGCTAGTTGCACCACTAACCTTTGTAAGTAACATGCGGAGGAAGTATACATCAGTGGTTCCTGGTGGAATAAAAACGATACGCCCGATGGCATAGCCCTGTTTTCTCCTAGCCCAATGCTTCGGTCGAAGATGAAATGTATATGCTGTAGGAATATCAGCATAGGTAAATGATCTGGCCTGTGGGTCCATGCGGTTAAGAGTGAAGTACTCAGTGAGCATGGTCTTCGACTTTTCTGGGTCCTCCACGACTGATCGAAGAGGTGCATCAGGATTGTACGCAACTGATTGTTGGTCCTTCAAGTGCACAGGAAGACAAACAACCGAGGGAGTTCTTTCATGTATTGGAAACTCATATATCCGCCACATTGCTTCGAAGGATGACAAAACTCTACAGTCCAAGTATTGCTTTATTTCATCATGCACATTTCGTGATGAGGCATCTGAGTTGGGTGCATGCTGGGATGCACAATTTTCAGCTACGACTGTGGCTCGATCGGGTCCTTTGGTGACATACTTGAAAAGATACTTGATAAGCCTCCCTTTGTGGCATATTTCCACGTTTATATGAGCCTGGAACATGACCAAGAGGTTGCGATTATAAGGAACAACATGGCGATTGTCAAGAACACCATTACCCTTGTCAAAGGTGCGGCCATCATTCCGCCGACGATAAACAATATACCCATTTTGATCGTATGTGGTCGATGAGTTAAAGGCCTTTGGGAAGAACTTCTTACACTTCCCTTCCCTCATGCATGGAGACTTCTGATTAGACTGACCGCACGGTCCATGGAGCATGAATTTTGCAACAGTAGCATAGCCAAGCGGATCTTTTTCTGGATCTGGTAGTTCAGCAGATATAGTAGCATCGATAGCCTCGGTTGTTTTCAGCTTGTCATTCTCATGCAACCAAACCAGTAGATGCACATGTGGCAGACCACGCTTTTGAAACTCGATCGTATGTATGTCTGCCAAGGATGAAAAGGTTGGATGGTGAGCCATGGTTTGAAATTTGAATTGAACTGTGTGGCAAACTAATGCAATGCGTGTAGGTAAAAAAGTCAAGAGGGAGACAATTGGAGGTTTCTAATGACAAACCTGCTACTGTCTTGCCAAAAAAATGTTTGCGATTGATTTGTGCCTTAAGAGCAACAACTTTCATCCTGAACACACGAACAACTATGTCTGGTTTGTCCTCTGCCTTCAGACCGACAGTTTGCGTAAATGCTTGAGTAATCTCTGGCCACTGTGCATTGCAGGTGAATGTGATAAACAGGTATGGGTTTCCAAGACGCCTGCAAATCGCCATGGCATCAAGATACTGATGTTTCATATACCGAGGACCACCAGTATATGTTGCTGGAAGGATCGTTCCAACTCCTTTTCCAGTTGTGTCCCCCTTGTTATAAGCATCACAAAGGCCCTTGTACATTTCGGCTCGTAGGAGTTTTTGGTTGAGCCGCAAAAATTTAAGGCGATTCTGCTCGATAGTTTAGAACGCATCCACACAATAGTGTTGCAAAGCCTTCCCTCCCCGCATGAGACTCTGACCTTCACCTTCACGGTGTTGCAAGCGAAAAGCGTGGAACTCTCTTTCAGTTACATTCTGCCTCTTGGCCCCACGCGACATATATACAGGATTACATCTTATTCCAAGATGGAACCCATCTTCCCCATATGGGAAAAGAACAGGGAATTGCAGAGCATGATATTTTGGATTCAAGCAATTAATTCGTTGCAAGCCTTCTTCTCGGTGATTTATGATAATGTCTCTACCATCTTCTTCTGCGTCAAAGTCACCAGGTATAAGGCCTGCAATGTCAGAGCCAGCAGGTAGATCATACTGTCGATTGGCAGCCTGTCGAGCACCAACTATTCGCAGACGAAGGTTGTGATTAGCTGGGTCCTGAACCTCCCTAGCTACGCGCCGAAAACTCCTCACCAGCTCATTTGTTGCGTCAAACATTTTAATGAGCCCATCAACAATCTGAGGCTTGAGAGCCAGATTGGTGGATGAAAAATTGGAAAGGCGATCGCCAACCTCGTCCTCTGTGTCAAACACGTAGAGCTGTGAGAATTTGGGCTTCTTTCCCTCTGGGGGCAATAAAGAGCCCATATGATGGTAGTTTGCTCCACAAATAACAAAAGAGTATGGACCCGAAGAATTGGTGACTCGCCGATCTAGTTTAGCACCAACAGAACTCATGGAGAACATGCCGTTGTAGGGCCTGATTTCCTTGCGAAAGTGCTTCGATTGGGGGCCTCCATGCGGATCCAGAAGACTATCAAGATAGGTTGGAGTCTGTTCGAGAAGAGGGAGAGCGACCTTACCATGATTGCAGCAAAGAGCAAAGATGGGCATGGTCGTGTTGCGGTGTCGTTCGAGGCGTTCATCATACCAGAACATAGCTCCGCAGTATGGGCAAGCACATTGTGGGAGGCCAAAATCCAGAATGTCATCATCACAGAAGTGTGTGCCCTGTTGTTGATCACCTGCAGCAGGAATAGAAGGAGGATCCTGCTGCAGGAACACAGAGAATGAGGATGAACCTGGTTCTGTATGGCCTTGTACTGCCTGGTTGTGGACCCCATCCGTTCCTTTTGAGCCTATTGAGGTTTTCTTGCGTTTTTTGCCAATATTTGCTGGAGTAGGAGGTTGCTGAGTTTGCGAATGAGGACCTGTAAGGGGACTCATCGCATGTTCTTCACCCGATGGTTTACTGACCATGGATCGAAAATGTTCTGGTGTAGATTTTGGTTTCCTTACCCTTCGATCAGTGATAGGCCGTCTGTAGGATGCCGAATATGAAGAGTCGGCACCATCCTTGCTTTGTTGTGAGGGAACAACCTGGGCAATAATAGATGCAAAAAAATTATAGCCAAGTATAACCATTGGCTGATCTTGCAAACAAATAAAGAACATAGGGCTGGCAGATGCAAGTATGTGAATCATGGAAGAAAGAGGCAGCACTGGAAATCATGTAGGAATGGCGGAGGAGGTGAACAACCGAAGTAAGGGTGTGTGGTAAAAAAAACTGTAAAAGTATGGATGGCAGATGACCTCTATGGAAGCAACGACCGAATTCACAACTACACTGATAATGGCAAAGGGAAACAACACTAAACACAAAGATTAGTGGAAATCAAAAGGGCTTTTTCTTCACAGTGGATAAGTTATCAGTTCACGGGAAGGAATCTAGAACTGTGCGTAACTTGCAATGATGGAGCATAGTCCCAAAAATGTGAAATTGAAAGAGAAGGTTAAGAAGAATTGGTAACCTGAGGGAGTAGACCACCACCTACCATAATTTCTTTGTTCTAAACTCAACAGCAAACACACAATGAGCAACAGTCTATAGATGCTGATGAAAAAGATTGAACCAATCAGAACAAAAACATCTAATCCTGGGAGAGAAGAAGGCAAAGACTGCAGCAAAGGAAATAACAAAGGTGGCAGAGAACAAACCATGGTAAAAATTGATTGGGATATTGTGGGGGTGGAAGACGTTGAACTGGCATGAGCCTTACATAGCACACCTATAACTTGGCAGGTAAGAAAAGAGAATGTGATTTGCAAAAATCTATAGAGTGATGGTAAGATAAAGGAATGATGGTAATCACCTAACCTGTAAAGGAGTACTTTTTCTGGCAATGTGCATGGGAAGAAAAGATCACCGCAATCACATCCAAGAACCAGTAAAGTGGCACCCAAGGTTTGGAATGAAACAAAAAATCCTTGTCTTGTATGGTTGGTTAGTCGTGTTGTTCTGAAATCTTGCAGCCTGTATAGCAATCGAATGGCGACAATGGATTATGGTCTCAAACAAAAGCATCCGACATACAAATTGGAAGGACTGCTTATTAAGACGAAGCTGAAAAGCAACACGATTTTCTAAAGTCCTCCTCCCATTGGACCAGGCTAGCGAGCATATATGTAGGTAGGCATGATAAAAAGTTACAGGATCGAAACGAAGAACTCTTTTACAGTGAAACAGAAGCGGAAACGCTGAGTTGAGGGTTCAGATAACAAAATAGGGCCACCAGGTATAAATATGGATATGGTGGCAGGACACAGACAGTTTCAAGTGTTCCCTCGAATTACAGAGTGATTCCAGGTCAGCAAAATAGAAAGGAAGTACTTGACCATGACTGCGAACCACGTGAAGCAGCCAAAAGATAGATGTTTAAACAACAATCAACGCTAAAAGCAGTACAAAAGGAGTTCACGAAAATGAGGACGGATGGGGGTCTAGAAGAGTTTCTTGCGGACGACCTTGTTTCTCCCAACACTTGCTCTCAGATGTGAAATGGGCATGTCATCAGGGTCTTGGTCTTTGGAGATTTTCTTCTTTTTTTTGCCAGTGAGATTCGCTTCTAACTTCTCCAGCTTCACCTTTGCAAGTGGCTGAGCAAGCCTACAGCAAGCGAGGTAAATTTCTTGTATCAATAACAGAAGGGCGTGTGAGGAAACATATACTAATCGTGGGGAAAGGCTGAAAGAGACTTACGGGCTGATTGGCAGCATAGAAGGTGGGATTGTTTTGGCCGCACCTGCAGCTGACCTTGTCTTCTGTACTGAGCGTCCTTTGTAGGTTGTCGCATTGGGCGGTTCACTATTTTTACAATCCCCACCAGTCAAAGAGCATAAACTTCGATTCAGTATCCAGCAACAACAATTGTCAATGCGGTACCCTCACAAAGTATTAGGAAAAGCAGAGAAAAACATACCTAGTAGCAAAGGCATCTGGCTGTAATGGAGCAAGGACAGTGCATAGTTTCTCAGCCTTTGTTGGTGGGGTAGTAGATGGCGTTCCATTAAGCGAAGAAGCAACCCTGCCACAAAATGAAACATGTAAGCAAACGACTGCATTTAGTAGGCACTGTATGGCCTACGTTTCTTCTGGAGCACATGCAAATGAGTCACTTTTTCCAGGTACGCAAGGAAAGTACTCCATTGAACTACCGGAGGGGAGGCTTCTCGCCATTCCTATTATGCTATGACCCTCAGAAGATTTAGTTGGCGTGACTGGCGTATTGGTCCCAGAGAGCACGCGAGACAACGCCGCAGTGACCAGAGGATTTGCGAGGCTACTGCAGAACCGAACACGACTTGGTCAAAAGAATGAAAGAGTAATTGAGAGGAAAAGAAAGTTTGGAATCCAATTCCTTCATTGATGTCAGTCCCAAGTAACATCATCGTGAAACCATGACCCTCGTAT